CAATATATTATTTTTTTTACAAGAAAAAACAGAAACAAAATATAGAGATGAGAGATTCACAAAAGGAATAATTGCATTTTGAAATTTTGTGTAATTCTTTTGACAGAAAAAGAAAAACGTGTGTTACACGTTTTCTACAACGTAAATATACCGCAAGTATACAATGTCAAGTTTTGTAATATAGGATAAAGTAAGGATGTCGAACCCACAAAGGTAGAAATTAAATTTCTACTGAGTAATATAATTATTTTAGCTTTTATTTTATCTAGAAGATCAAATTTTAGAATCAATGTTTTTATGATAATCTAAAAAAAATGGATGTGATGAGAATTTCAACTAAATTACGCTAGCTATACGAGAGTGGGCCTAGGGAGTGATTTCACCGCACAATCAACAATATTTCTCAATTTATAAAATTAATTCACTAAATTTTCCTCTCTCAAGTGCCTAAATTTAAGGCATTAAATTCATTCAATTATTGATTAGGTAATTGAAAGCAATGTACAATAATCAACACTAAACTTTTGGAAAATTGAGAGAAATACTTAGATTAAAATCCAAAAATGTCTCAACTTACGGCTATGTCAAACCCTTGATTAAAAATTTAGAACATGATCAATGTAATACATATAATCAAATTCAATATCCAAAACATGGAGACGACAAGAAATAAAAATTGGTTTAGCGCTGGAATTCTTCTTCTTGTAGTTGCCTCCTTTTTCTCTAGATTAATCTTCCACTTCTCGCCTTTTTTGTGTTGGAAAAATCCCCTCAATAGTGCTTATGAAATTGTATTTATGGGCTCTTTTTTGTTCCCTTCGACTTTGACTGCAATTGGGCTTTTAATTGAAGTAAAAAATTCCGCCAGCCCCTCAGGGTATAGCCTAGTGGTGTAAAAGATAGGAGTGAAGTTATCTCACGCCTTGCTGGCAGCCGCAGTGTGGAGGTTCGATTCCTGAAACATGGAATTAGATTCCTTGTAGGCGCAGTATACATGCAACTCTTGTTTTCTGGTCTGTTGGGGCACATCCCACGATTTACCTCCCTCACAAAGTTTTAGGGGCGGGACGATGGGGACCCTCAAAGTTAGAGTTCAACCTTTTTTTAAAAAATTCCACAAACCCTATTTACAGTACAGTGCCTAGGCGCTGGAAATGTGGCAACTAGGCATTGCTTTATGAGTCGGCCTAGCGTCTAGGCGCTATAGGTTTGTGCCTAGGGCCAGATCTCTGTTTCTTCCTTGTTTGTGGCGCCTAAGCACCCACTTTCTGTCCTTTTTTTCTTTTCTTCTTGATTGAGCTAGTTTTTTGTCATCTTCCATAATCAAATATATGTTTCTTCCGGTCCACTCACCTCCATATAACTTTGGCTCCTTTCCACACTTCGAACTCTTCATATTCACCAAATTGTTTAACCCTTAAAACAACATGAGCACTCACATCAAAACGTCCTAAATTTCTCAAAGACAACCAAAATTTCAAGCTCAAGTGGAATTAAAACAATGAATGAAACTTACTCATCAACGTGCTATTTATAGATTATTTGTGGTAATTTCGAACAATATATAAGTCTCTTCAGAACAACGGTAACTATTCAAAAAGTCTTCAAACTAGTAGAGATATCCATTCAAATTGAAAATAGGTGTTTGTTATGGTCGGTTACGCTGAGAAAATTTCCGTGAAAATAACCAAAGGTTCTAATTTAAAAGATCATTATCAGACCGTGCCGTGTCGATAGCACTCGACCTGTGTGGTTCAAACTATTGATATCGAAGTCCTTACTCTTTCTACAAAATTGTGTGCCATTTGTAAGGTCCAAACATAGATCAAACTTTCACCTTATAAATCAAACATATTTTTCCAAGAATTCATACGTGGAACAAATGTTTATCGATTTTAATCAAATTATTCCCCAAAATTGAGCTTAAAGTAGCTCACTCGAATCATTTTTCCAGCAAGTCCTAATGAACTTCATGTATAAATTCATTAGGAAATTCAAGAAAAGCAAAATTCACCGAGAGCAATTTGAACAAGGAAACAATTTCAAGCAAAAGTAACAAAAAGTTAAAATAATTTTGCAAGTGATCCATCATCTTTTTATACTTTTGAACTATACATTCTTCAAAAAATTATTTTTCACAAATTATATTTTCAAAAATCTTTAGAAATATGGACTTTAAAAGCAAACTTATATTTTATTTTTTGTATAAGCAAAAAGTAAATATATTCAATATTGAGAGTGGTCGGCCAGATGGCTTTACATTCGTTCGCCAAGTGGAAATTTAAAAGCTTGCTTTCAATAAATAATTTATTTATTTGACGAAAATAAGAAATATCGAAATTACAAAGTAGAGATAAAATTTAGAGAAATGCTACGTGTACCCACAGTATTACACCCCTCACATGGAGGAAGCCTAGGGTTGGCAACTATTCTGTTTGGGGTCGATTCTGTCAAAACCATCACTGAATCACTAATTTTTTTTGTCATATCATAACAGTACCATAACCACGTAAGTCGGTTTCGGTTATATTCGTATCTTGGTTTAGCTCGATTCGGAGCGATTAATAACCATGGAAATAAATTATTTTTCATAGGTCCAATCGTCAAATTGAAAAAAATAATTTATGAAAAAAAGTCACACATGATGGTTATCAACTGATAGTCGAGTGAATTATATTAGAGTACTTCAAACAATTTGCGTTGTTGATCACTTACCAGATTAAAATTGTACAAAGGGCAGATAGAGGGTACATTGTAAGAAGGCGGCGATTTATGGTACCAAGGGTGATGTCTAGGTTATTGATGACAAAATCAAAAAAAGCGAACACTGTGTATATTTAATTTCAAGTCAATCCAGATATATAAAACTAAGCAAATGATCAAATTTACCATAAGAGAATAAGTTTTTTGAAATTGAAATTATTGATTGGGATCGCTTCAAGAGCGATTGAGTTAATAACCATCATGTATGACTGCAAAAAGGAAGAAAAAAGGCCCTTGTAGAGTTTGTAAAATTAGATATATATTTTTATACATGTTTTGCCTTGGATTACTATTTAGATGGAAAAAAATAAATTTAGCGGGCAATCGGTTTGGCTCGAGACGATGACATAAATTTCATACCCGCACTGTCTCGAATCGATTCATTAAAATCAAATACCATATCCGTCCTATTACACTATCGGTTCATTTTTTTCGCTCCAATAGGTTGGATTAACCGTAATTTTCGATTTTAACGGTTCAAATTATCATTCCTACCCACTTATAACAAAATATTCGTGGATTCCAATGGAAAATCGAAATGTAACCCATTATATACACAATGTACATGTAGCATTTCCCTAAAATTTAGCTCCCATCTGCTCTGTTCCATCCGTTTCATACTCCATTACGAACACACGATAAATTGCACAAATCAGGGACTGACCCACTACCTGAGTTCACCTATATAAATTAGTATTCGAATCGTCCTAGGCAGCAACCGCAGAATTCTGGTAAAATTTGCACCAATTTGAAAGCCTAAGTTACAGAGTAGAAGTGAATTAGTTATAGTGATCTTTGAAGTTGGTAGGGGGAGGAAAAAGTTAGGAAAAATAGGAGGGTGTTTGTCAACCGGCGGCCAGCCGGCGGCGCAGGCTGCCTCGGCGTCGCAGGCGGTGGTCAGGAGGCTCCCGCTGCCGGAAAACACTGACGGTGGTAGTGACAACGCCAAGATGAAGGCGCTATTCAAGCCGAAGCCCAAGACCCCCGCTGACCTGGTTCGCCAGACACGTGATCTCCTTATCTTGGCCGATCGCGGGACGGATACTAAAGAAAGCAAGCGCGAAGAGAAGGTTCTCGATTCGATTAATTCTTGTTTTCTTGCCCGCATTATTCGTTTTCATTGATCTAGTTTTCATCTACACATCATGAAAAAGTTTGAATCTGAATCAAGTGGATGCTTTCTAGGTGTCATGCTGCGTTGTTTTCTGTGCTCTTTTCTCCTATGAATGCAAAAAAATATAGCCTATATTCTACTGAGATCTTGTGTATTCATGATACGAATTTATCTTGTTAAACGGAGTGAGAAGTTTTATTGGCTTTAATATCATTAGGATAAGGAAAATATAACCGTCCAATGTGCTATGAAGTTTAACTTTGCACTGTTTGATGCATATTGCCATGCCAAGTGGAAATATATTAGCATATTAAGACCGCTAATTTTAGCTCTTACGTTGCTCAATCAGTCTTATACCTTTTTATCTCTTCAGATGATGGAGTTGAGCAAACACATCCGAGATCTGAAGTCAATACTTTACGGCGACAGTGAATCTGAGCCCGTCTCAGAAGCTTGCACACAGTTGACTCAGGAGTTTTTCAGAGAGAACACTCTACGCCTCCTAATTACATGTCTGCCCAAGTTAAATCTAGAAGTAACGTTCTATGATTTCTGAACTGAGCACAAAGACTTAGTAGAATACTACGAAGCTATAGTTTCTATTAATTTTTTGACTGACTGATGAGAGTGATTTAATGGCCATTCTTATTCTTAGTGTGTATGTTGTTCAAGTTACATTCACAATATGTAGTTGCTTTATTGTGATGACTGATAAGGATAATTGTGATGACTAATAAAAGATATACTTATGCAGACCCGCAAAGATGCTACTCAGGTTGTTGCAAATCTGCAGAGGCAACAGGTTCAGTCACGACTGATCGCTTGTGATTACTTGGAAAAGAACATTGATCTAATGGATACCTTGATAGCAGGGTAAGCAGGCATGTCAAGATGTCTTTCTTGGCTGTGAATTGTTGAATTAACTTTCTCTATATTACATATCTTTGGGAACTTGGAGAATAGGAAAATCAATTCATTCCCATAGTAGATTAGAAGGACATTAGCAGAAAAATATTCTGTTTGCATTTTCTTTTCTTCATTGGAGACAGGGTGTAGAGACTGGAATACTTCTATGTTGTTCACCCCCCCCCCCCCCCCCCCCCACA